AAAAGTAAATTTCTGACACAAAATCTACTAAAGTATTAAAAGTAAAAGTACTGAGTAAAAGTGAGCAGTAAGATTTTCCAAAATGACATTTATTGGGAGGTGAGTTCTCAAAAAATATTCTTTCTAACGGCGTGCAGCTGTGATGGGTTGTGTACAAGCTAATAGGGTGTCAGAATGGTATATATTTTTTCTTCTCATCAAACCACAATTAAATTCACTTTATCCAGGAAACACCATTTATCAGGATAGTATTTTTAAGTAATAACTCAGAATAAAATAGGAATAACGACTTTCTACTTCTTACCTTTTTAAAAAATGTAGTGAGTAGAAAGTACAGATAACTGTAAAAATGTAATGAATAAAAGTAAAAGGTATGCTGAAAAATAATTGCTCAAGTAAAGTACAGATAACCAAAATTTATACTTAAGTACAGTAACAAAGTATTTGTAATTAGTTACTTTACAACTCTGCAAAAGAAAAGTTTAGATTATTTTGAAGAGTTCCTTCTAGTTCCTTATAGTTCACTGAGGGCAGGCTTAGTATTATTTTCTGGTTTAGATGTGTATTTTGGAGTTAAAGTTAGAACACCTGGAATAATTTTAATGAAACCTTTAGGAAATGATCCTTGTCTCCACATCCATTACCAATTAACGTTTGAAATTAATCCAATTCAAGATGGCCAGCACAGCTGATCAGTATCATCCATCACAAAAGTTACCATACCTCAGTCATTTCTACAGATAATGAGCTAAAATTTGATGAGATTGTAGCTGAGAGTCATTCACAACACATACTTTGAGCGGGACAGCTTGAGGTGTTGGATGAGTTTGTGCACGGTGTTATTTCCAAGGTTTGATGCAAACAGCCACAACTCCATCATTTCTTACCAGAACTTGATCCTATAGTTGAAAACTCTGACATAAAAGGCTGTGGGCAATAGGCCTTCCATTTTTTTAATATCAATAGACCGCAGCTATCTGATAATAGCAAAAATCAATCAACAGAAGTTCATCTAATTTGCTAAGCATGTGTTCTCTATAAATACATAGTGTCTTCCAGTGGGAACGCATTGGCTCGTGTTTGACAGCAGGTTTCCTGTTGTCACACAAATATGTTTCTGTAGAGCCGGTGTGCAGGAGATTATGGTGAAAGGAAAATTGCAGCAARCAAAGCTGGAGAGCCTCTGCTCCGAGGTGACAGGGCATGTCTGTGCCTTACCCCATCTGAACCTGACGGCTGCTGCTGTTGGCACTGTAATTACACAGGTTCTAGGCATAAATCACACTGAGGGGAGGGGGGGGG